CCCAAGTGTCCGTGGGCACAGCGGCATGCAACACTGCCAAGAAGTGCATCTGGTGCTTAGCCGGCTCCAAGGTGCCAAGTTGGCTGCACCGAGTTGACAAGTTGATAATGCACCATTTCTGCCCTATTACGGGTCATGATCTGCAGCAGCTGCGACCTTTCCCACCATATTCTCATATAACAACAAAGTCCAATACCCATCACAGAGATTCCATACGAGACAAGTTCCTCGCATAAGCCCCCCCTGACCAGATAGAGACAAAAAAAAAAAAAGAAAAGAAAAAAGAAAAAGAAATTTGGTTAGGTCTCTGAAAATTGGTTAGGTCTCTGAAAATCCCGTCGCGTAAACCGGATGTGCAGGGTAGGTAGGATGTGTTGCTGCCATACTTTGTACAACCACCTCTACCGCCTTACCCTTTTGGGACTCTGCAACTTTGCTCCCGAAATTCCTTTTCGCCATCCACTGCACGCGACCCTGGCTCAGTCATCATCGACGTCCTCGATCCGGCACGAGGTCTGCCACCAAGCCACAGTCGATACCGAGTGCCCAATTGACTCCCACACACATTAAACAACTCATCGAATTACCTCATCACAGAGCCAGCCATGGACAAGATCGCCCGGCGTGTGGCGCAGGCCCAGCGCTCGGCCAGTCGCAGAAGCCAACGAATGGCGAGGCGGCAACAGATTCAAGCGTACTATCGTGCCGACAAGGCGGTAACCGAGGCCAATCGAGAAATCATAAACAACATCAAGGATGCCAAACAGGCCATGAAGGAGGACTGGGAGCTCGGCCCCTTGGCTCCCAAGCGCGATTTGGGCTTCAACAAGTACGGCGTCGTCACGACAGTCATCCGCCAAGACTGGAGCAACTATGGCCAGATCAAGTTCCGGCAGAAGCTCGCCGAACAACGCTGTGCTTGGGCCGGCGGCGCTCACATGCTGAATCTGGTCCCGGGCGACAGGGTCGTCATCTTTGAAGGCCACGACAAGGGCAAGATTGATACCATCAAGGCGATTCAGCCCGAGACTGGCTCCCTCACCTTGGAAAACCACAACCGAGTACGTTGCCGCCGATCGATAAACAAACCTCCCCAGCTGTGCTAACCAAAGCCGCCCCCCATCTCCCCAGGCCATGGTCGAAGGCATGCTCGGCCAACCACCCCGCTCACAGCCCATGCCCCTTTCCATCGACTCGGTACGACTCGTATACCCTCTGCCCGACCCCGTCACAGGCGTCACCAAAGACACCATCATCCGCCAGCTCCGCGCCGTCCCACCGCGAATGGAATCGCCCAACATGACAATGGAGCGCTGGCGCTACGGCAACAAATGGGACCGCATCGTGCCCAGCCTCAACCGCATCATCCCCTGGCCCGAGACGCCCGTGCCCGAGTTTGCGCTGACGCCCAGCGACACGACCCGCGACCAGGTCGAGGAGCGCACTTTTTACTACAGCCTCGCCACGCCGCCCATGCCCGACGGTGTCGTTGACGAGCTGCGCAACAAGTACTCCAAGTTCCGCACCCGGCACGAGAACTGGTACGTTGCTCAAAAGGAGGCCGAGGACGCTAACAGCAAGGCGTCCAAGGGCGACGCGACGCGCCTCATGCAGACGCCGCTGGAAGAGTTCAACGAGATGCAGCGCGCGATCCGGGACGCCGCCGGCGAGCCGGAGCTGTCCGAGGACATGCTGGCCAAGATTGGCGAGGTCATGGCCAAGAGCAAGGCCGAGGCGCTGGAGAGGGCTGGCGTATCAGAGGTCGAGTCGAAGCAGTAGACCGCTTCTGTGTATTGTTGAGATGAGAGCATTGCTGGATATCAAAGCTATTTGGGTGCCAGGCTCGTCTGCCGAGGCGCGGATGGGCTGGGCATGTATACTACTCTGTCCAGGACTTGTATATTACTATTTGCAAATAGACGATTGTCAAATATGTTTCTTGCGCATACCATGACTGCATCATGAGCACATTATGCTTACATTCCCTTTGCAGCCGGTGGAACTTTTGCTGACCTATTTTGGCCCTTTATGTTCTTTCAAGGGCCTGCGCCTTGATCCAACTTGTCTGCTTCAGAAATTATCACAATCTATTCTTATTACTATCATTAGCACCGAAAGGAAACTAAATTTAGCGTAGATGGCATCTCGGGTACCTGTCAAACTCTCACAATCTCGATTATTGGATTATTAAGAATGTATAATCAAGAGCCGAGGCCACGCTACTTGCTTAGCAATACGGCCAGCACATTGGCCGGACCCCGAAGTGGTCTTGATGTCTTAGTTAAAATCGGCAATGAAACAGACTCCGTCCGATCCAGGCTCACATTCCTTGCCCTTGCATTTCGGAGATGTTGCGCATGTTAGTCTCTCGCTTTCACAGACTCGCATCACTAATCGCTCGGCGCGCCCACCGCCACCTGTACCCTTTAAACATGGCGGCATCTGCTGCCGCCAAGCACCACAAGTCGGATTTACATCATACGAAACCAACTACATTCACAGCAAGCAATAATGGCATCAGCTCAGCCCCAATCAGCCAGCACTACAGATCCTGTCACCAAGACCGAGGACCCCAAGCCGGCGCCCAAGTTGTCAGACCACGACTTTAAGATGTACAATCGACTAGCCGTCCACATGGATGCTCTTGTACGTTGACCACCCATCTGCCACCCATTTACCCCCTCCTCCCTCCCTGCCTTACAATCTCTCACCACCCACCCACCACCATCACCAGCACGAAAACTTTCGCCGCACCTGGAACCTCCTCTGGGCCTACGCCACGACCGGCCAGCGCCCGCACGGCCTCACCCCGGGGCAGCTCGCGCGCGCGGGCCTCGACTTTGCGGACCGCCTGGCGATGCACCACGACATTGAGGAGCGCCACGTCTTCCCGGAGCTCGCGCGGCGCATGCCCGAGTTTGACCCCCGTCGTGGCGGCGGCGACGGCGACGGCGACGGCGGGGAGCTCGTGGCGCAGCACAGGACCATCCATGCGGGGCTCGACGGGCTGCGGGCGTACCTCGAGGGCGTGCAGCGGCGCGGCGGCGGGGGGGACGAGGCGCTGACGGCGGGCGCGCTGCGGGAGAGCATGGAGGCGTGGGGCGGCGTGCTGTGGGCGCATCTGGACGACGAGGTGAGGGCGCTGGGAGGGCGGAATATGGCGAGGTACTGGACAAAGGAGGAGGTGATGAGGATGCGCTGGTGAGAGGTAGGTAGGTGGTGGGCTGGAGTACGTGGATGGCAAGAGATGCTGTTTAGGATGAGTAGAATACACATCTCAGAGGCAAGGGTTCATGGGCCTCTTGTAGCTAGCTGAATAAAAAGAAAAGACAAAGAAAAAAAAAGGCTCATGGTCGAGGTTCGTCGTGAAACCAAACAATGCTTTGATAATGCCATGAAATCATTCCATGCCCGGCTCGTCCCCGCCTTTGTCCTGCACGTCACCACATCTTGCATCTATATATACGCCATCACTTCCCCCCCTCCATCTCTTCCCCCTCCATCTCTTCTCCCTCATCTCTTCTCCCTCCCTGCCTCCCTCCTCCATCTACGCCGTGCGGCGCCATAGATCCCTCATGCCGCCCGTCGCCGGGTACAGCGCAAACAGCGCGACCAGCACGTCCGGCAGCAAGCCGCCCGGCGTGCCCCAGTGCATCGTGAGCGGCGCCCACGCCGCATTTCTGTAAAACGCCGTGCGCCAGTCCTCCTGCCACCTCTTCTCCTCCGCCGCCGCCGCCGCCGCCGCCGCCGTCGTCGTCGTCTTTACGCCGCCAGATGCCGACAACCGCCGCGCGCGCTCGGTCAAGTGCTTGACCACCTCCATGGCGACGTACGCGCCCCAGAAGCGCACGCTCAAGATGGCAAGACGGCCCTGGCTCTGCGGCTTGATGGGCAGAATCTTCTTGCTGCCGAGGTACGCCGCGTTCTCGCACACCTGGAACACGACAAGACACAGCGTCTGCGCCCACGCCACCAGCGCTGCAAACGTCTTCTCTGCCGACTCGTCGCTCAGCGAATCCGTCTGCTTCTGCTGCTGCTGCTGCTGCTTGCTGCGCGCTGCCATGAGCCCCTTGACGGCCGAGTACAGCCCCAGCAGGCCCCAGAGGCGGCCCATGGTCCGCATCTCCGACACCATGCCCGAGTACGCCTGCAGCCGAGCCGCGAGATCCAGCACAAGGGCGACGGACCTCGGCATAGTCGCCGGCTTGAGCACGACCGACGTCGACGGCGGCAGCGAAAACAGCGCCGCGACGAGCTGCCGCGCCGAGGACCGCAGCGCCGCGCGGCCGCCAATATCGAGCACGTTGCCGGCGAGGCGCGTCGCGTAGCACGCAAACATGAGGACCGTGTCGGCGCCCGCGCGCGTCTGCATGCAGCGCTGGAGGTGCGCGATAAAGGCGTCGGCGCGGGCGAGCGCCGAGGGGGGGGAGGCGCTGTCGGCGCGCCGAGGCCGAGGTGTGGATGCGGCATCGGAGGGCGGGCCAGTGGTGACGGTGGCTTTTTCGCTGGGCAGGCTCGAGGGCAGGACGGCGAGGGGCTCGACGGGCGCGAGCGTCTCGCTGGCTGATTCCGACATGGCTGCTGTGCGTGCGTGCGTGTGCGTGTGTGTGTTGGTGTTGATGTTGTTGTTGTGTGTAAAGGAGGGAAAGCTGATCGGTCGGACTGGTGGTGCGATGGATGGGGTAGGCAGCAGCGGCGTTATTCGGGCCAAGATACGGAGCAACACTGTAATATCCCTCGCGAAAGCAAAACTTGCTTCTTATTCTTCCTTGTTATTTAAAAGATTTGTGTGTCTTTGGGGGATTTAGACTTTAAAGAAAACTTGTGTGAATATGAATGGTTTTTAAGAAAGAAAAAGGCGCGCTACCCCTGGGGATGCAAGCCGTCGGTCGGTCGGTTGTGCAGTTGAGAGTGATCAACAAGACAACGGCCGAGCAAAGCCTCGGCAGAAAAATACCTAGCTGGGCTTCTTAATCATTCTTAGTGAGCTTTTTTGGCCAGACAGAGTGCCCCAGTGGTTAAGGAATACTTGACATCAGATGGCTTTGGCCGCGCAGGTTCGAACCCTGTCTCCGTCGTACCGGCGGAGTGTCCGAGTGGTTATGGAGTCTGACTTGAATGGTTCCTGCTCTGTCGATTTCTTTTTTTTTCTTTTTAGCCCCGAGTGTATTTTTATAGAGCCCAACGGCTTTTTCTTTTGCAGAGATGAGGAAACACTACGGATTAGTGCTGTGCACAAGAGTCCGACGCTTACCATCTTCACATGACTGGACTGGATGATTGACCATGGACCCTCGGACCGCAAAATATTGCTAGGAACGACGTCCAGCTCCATACCACCAACCAGCCACGCTGCCTTTCGAAATGCGCAACGTGTAATCCGTAGCCACGCGCACATCTCCTCATTCGCTAGTTACGCGTTTAAACCCGTAAATACATCAGAAGACATCCTTCTTTTCGGCAATAATGGCCCACTTTAGAAATACAAAACAGCCCGACACGGGACCGGACAGCATCATAAAATCAACGCCTTGCATGCGAGCCGTCTATTGGATATCCTAAAACCACTCTGTGCTATTCAGAATGATGTATAATACATGATTTCTATTTTCATTTTCAGCAAGAAACAAAACAGGCCGCACTGGCATCACCTCCCGACGCCAACTTTTAACCTGTCAACCAAGGACCGCTTCTATAACCAGCCGAAAACACCTGCAAATTCAATCATGCGAACCAATATCGACAAATCCACACAGCAAAAACAAAAGTGCACGCAGAATCCAACAAGGATATACACACTGCTACCTGTCAGCGTCGGCTCCTCTTGGCGGCTCGAGGCGGCGGCACGGGTGGCACCTCCATCGCCTCCCTCTTCTTGGTTTGCTTGCGCAGACGAGGCGGCGGCGGCGGATCCGCGTGCAAATGACCAAACTCCTCCAATGCCATGTTATTCTTCCACCGCAGGCATTGATAGTTGCGCGGCTCCGGCGTCTTGTCTCGAATCCGCGAGCTGCTGCGCTTCGTCGGTGCCGACTCTTCTCTGCCTGCCTCTTCCTCCGCGACTTTGGTCAGGTACTGCTGGCGCTTTTCCATGTGCTCCGCAATCTTGTCTCTGAACGTGACCAGCTCCTTTCGCAGTCGCAGCTCGTTGAACCCTCGCGGATCCAGCCAGTAGATCAGCTGGTCCAAGCTCTTCGCATCGGCAATGTAGCCCCATTGGTGAGCGCTCTCCAGGCTCGTGCCGCCTTCCTCCTTGTTCTTGCGCTCTCGAATTGTCATGTTAAACTTGGCCTTGTACTCGTTTTCGAGGTCCGGCGGTACGTCGATGTAGCCTTTGCGCTCCAGCTCGTCAGGCCCTTGAATCCACAAGCGTCCATTCGCGTAGCCGGCTCCCGCAGTTGAGCTATTTGGCAGCCCACCGTAGGGCATGCCATTGCGCTCAAACCAGTAATATCGATTCCAGAAACGATCCCTGCCCAGAACACGTGTGCGTGGGCAGTCTGCTTCGCGGAGATCATTCTCGATCGTTGCCACCTCTCCCTCGCATTTCTTGATAAAATCTTCCTTCTTTTGAATTTCCTTGAGCAGCTTGGTGAACTGCTTCGACTGGTGGGACGCCTTGGCGGCTTCTTTCTGTACCTTTTCTTTGGCCTTGCGCGCTGCCTCCTCCTCTTCCCGCTTCTTGCGCTTGTCAACGACCTGACGACCTTGGCGCTTCTTCTGCGACTTGACGTCGTGACTGGGCTCAACTTCGTTGTCGCCTTCTTTTTCGGTTATGGTGTCGTCAGCCCCGTTCATGCTCTGATCTCCATTCTCCTTGTCCTGTTCCTCTGCGGGCGTGTTCTCGGGAAGTAGAGTCTTGCGCTGTTCGTTGAGTTGGCGGAGCTCCTCCGTTGCTTGCTTGCGCTGGCGCTGCAACTCGACCCTGTCCTTGCGATACTTGGTCATGTTATCGTTGCAGTCTTCCATGAAGCCGCGCACAGCCTTGGTCTCCATGGTCAACATGCAGAGAATCTGCAAGATCTGTACTCTCGTATTGACATCGAGCTCGGCATACTTTTGGCGCGCAGCATCTTGCGTAGGGTCTGTATCGGCAGGAATAATCTGCAAGAGCAAGTCCTGATATAGCTGCTGGTTCTTCTCGCCCTTTGACAATTGATGTAAGAGGCCGACAACAATGCGCTCCCAGCCGCCATTGGTAAAATTCCGTTTCCGAATATGCTCCACCCAGTCGAATTCTTTCATCATTTCCTCAGCACGCGTTTTGGATTCGATTTCGGCCTTGAGAGTTTCTTCCTGGGCAGCGGCAGCTTCGGCAGCTATCCGCTCGGCTTCTTGCTTGGCCAGACTGCTGCGCGTAGCTCGTTTGACAGGCTTCTCTTCGGGCTCTTCCTCCTCCTCCTCCTCTTCTTCCTGGCCGTTTTCTTCGTCTTCGCCATCCTCCTCATCGCTGTCGTCCTCTTCGATTTCGGGCAATGTGATGCGAACTTTACCGCCATCTTGCTCAGAGTCTACCAAAATCTTGAGTACCGAACAGTGGATTTCGTGAAACAGTTGTACAGCGGTGCGTTCAGAAGCGACAGACATGGCCTCGACAAAGTCATCAAAGGTAAAAGAGTCAAGCTTGAAGATTTCGCAGTACACATTGAGAGTGTCCCAAGTCTCTAGTAGAGGGCCGACAGACTTCATTTCCACGTATTCCCTTAGCGGGTCATCGTTGCCCTCGTTGGAGGGTGCATCGCTGCACATAAATTTAACTGCCGGCCGTCGGAGCTCGTTGCTGGGGTCGAGCTGCAAGTCTTCGATGGGATATTTTGGGGGAGGTGGAGGGGGAGGAGAGGGCTCAATTTTGATGCTAGGCTCTGCGGTGCCATTGACAATTCCAGCTGGCCACTTTAGTCCCTTACCAGGTGGAGGCTTGGGTTTGATGCTCTTGGCCGGCTTTAATTCAGGTAGTCGTGCTGGCTGGGATGCGGCATGGCCATTGATATCGGATGAGCGCTTCTGGGCTTGAAGCTGCTTACGCTCTTGTAGTTTGGTGTCGTAGCGCAGATGGGGAGGTATCCGGGTGTCGATATGGTACTGCGCTGCATATTCCTGCTTCACGAGCCACGGCGCACCGGTCCAGGCTTCGCGCATCACAGTCTTCTTGAGGAAGGCGCGCAGCATGGCTTTGGTGAAGACGCCCCGATCGCGTGAGATGTTCTCTTCGGTGACGATGACTTCATGGTCGGTGCGGTGGGCGTCAACCAGGTATCTCGTCGAGGGTTTCGTGCGCGTCCCGTCGGCTAAAAGGCGCTCGCCAAAGGTTGTCTTGTCGCGTACGAGGCCATGGGTTCGCTCACCGCCTTGGCCCGTAATGGTGACCTCCTCACCGGGATAGTAATCTTGTTTGAATTCGTCATAGATTGTGTCGACGAGATTATCGAGTCGCGAAACGATTTGGAACTGCACTCTGCGGAGAATGGGGCCTTTGAGGGCTTCGGGGAACGATTCTTCGACCTCGCGTGCGCCGGCGAGCTAGAGACGGGTTAGAAACGGACACGAGTAGTTTTTGGCTATACAAACTTCGCTTTCGTGTGCTTCGAAAAAGGTAAGGCCTGAATGACCCGTTATTTGATCATTGAAACGACGCTGTAGAGGTTAGTGGCGGGTCTGTGTCGTGGGCAGGCTGCGCGCTGTACCTGCTTGTAGAAGTCCATGCTAGACGGTGTTAGCGTGATTTCAACGATACTTTCAGACCATTGGGTGTTTCTGTGCTCACCGATTCAAATAATCTTCATACGTGGCGAATATTTCACCCGTCTGGGGAATGTGCCAGACCTGCGTCGCGTCAGTTGTCGTACGAAACATGCATGTGTCACCATGGAATCAGGGAATACCTCTGCATCTTCGTCTTCAACCTCTGCCGGAGGAAGGAACTTGACCGGCTTGCGCTTGAACAGGACCTAGAGAAAAGAAGAGTCAGTTGGCCGAGTTGGGGGGCGCGTGCTGTTGTAGGTCACGAGAGGTCGCATGAACAGGATCGTGATCGGAGTGCCTACCATCGTGTCAAGCACCGACGGCGACCGAGTCGCGCCTATACGTGCGCAGAGCAGACGGCGAGGTGCAAGTTGCTTAGACTGCAATGAATCTTGTTGTTGGAAGCGCGTCTTGCGGGAGCGTAATGGCTAGAGCCTCAAGTGCCGTGCAGAGGGGGGCGACGTCCGTTTGTGACGCGCCGGAGACAAGCGAGAGTAGCCGGTGCCGCTCGTCGGTGGACGTTGGCGCGCGCTCTGTGTCGTCGAGTCGGACGAGGTAAGAAAAGCAAAGATGTATATATGCAAGAGTGCGGTCTCTGGTGGGACAGATTGATCGAGCTGCGGCGTTTTCGATTATGTAGGAATGAAAAAGAGTAAAAAGGTCAGGTGGAGACTTTTTTTTTGGCTGTGTAGTGGTGTTGTCGTCGGTCGGGGGGTGAGCAGGAGGAGGAAGGTGGATTTTGGCTGGCCCTCTCGGTGGCTCTGGTGGGAGCGTGCGAGACACGGCAGACATACACGACGCACCACGGATGCGGGTCGATCGAGGTGACCTCACTTACACGACGCGGAGGAGGGTTTGTAGATGAGAGCGATACGTCGGGGAGAAGGGGACATTGGTGATGATGTAGTTGGTGTGGCGTTGATGATGGTGATGGTGAGGAGGAGAAGATAGAGCCAAATGGGGGGGGGGTGCAAAGGAAGAAAACGCAAAGCGACGGCAACAAACTGTCGTTGATTTTAATTTTCTGGGCGGGCAGCTGGCAACACAAATAGGTAGCCTGGCAGCTGGCGGGCGGCGCGTAGAGACCAAACAGGGCGGCAGAAGAGGTATCTCTGCGCGCAAATAAGGTGCAAATGGTACTTGCAGTCCATGGCAGATTAGTTTTGACGAGTGACAAAGCCGGCCTCGCCAGGAAGGGAAACTTGCACTAAGTTTTGTGGGGGCTGAAGCTGCCAGGTACCCAAAGGGTGTGCCTCCGTCGACGACTGGTCTGGGCTGTGGTGTATTGCTGCACAAAATATTAATCACAAAATGAAATAAAAGTTTCAACACGCTC